GGGGCAAATTGAGATACTAAGACGTAATGATTATATATAAGATCATGAGAAATACAAGATTGTATTGGGAAACATTGCTTTAAAAAAATATATATATATATATTTATATATATATATATATATATATATATATATATATATATAAATATCTGTTTTAACATTATTCTGTTGGGTATAGTGGTAATTCTGTTCTAACACCATTCTTTTGGGTATAGTGGTAATTCTGTTCTAACACCATTCTTTTGGGTATAGTGGTAATTCTGTTCTACCACCATTCTTTTGGATATAGTGGTAATTCTGATCTAACATCATTCTTTTGGGTATAGTGGTAATTCTGATCTAACATCATTTTTTTGGATATAGTGGTAATTCTGATCTAACATCATTCTTTTGGGTATAGTGGTAATTCTGATCTAACATCATTCTTTTGGATATAGTGGTAATTCTGATCTAACATCATTCTTTTGGGTATAGTGGTAATTCTGATCTAACATCATTCTTTTGGATATAGTGGTAATTCTGATCTAACATCATTCTTTTGGGTATAGTTATAGTGGTAATTCTGTTCTAACACCATTCTTTTGGGTATAGTTATAGTGGTAATTCTGTTCTAACACCATTCTTTTGGGTATAGTTATAGTGGTAATTCTGTTCTAACACCATTCTGTTAAGAACTGGAAGCCCACGGGAAGACACACAAATGCAACCGTTAAAACTTGTTCAACTGTCAACTTGACACCAGTCAGTCAGCTGAAGAACAAATTACTCAATATGTTGGCATACATTTCAATCATCGTCAGTACAATATAATTCTATATACGCATGAAAGAATGGTGGCGTGGTGAGTTCAATAGCGCGCAAAATAAAATTTCCGATACCTTCGCTAAATGCCGCCGCAATGGTACCAGGCTATAAGGAGTACATATATAAATAAATACAGCGCGTATTTTGTTTAAAGAGTCCAAACAATGGTTAAGCGAAATGGGCACTAGAAGGGCGCCAAAAACAACCATTGGTTTGTTGTTGTTTTTGTTGTTGTTGTGTTTTTGGGGTTGTTGTTTTTTAGTGAGGGTGGGGGTGGGGGACGACTCCATTTCCAGGTGTTAAAATCGTTTTAAGTTAAATTTATAATTTAATAATAATTATGTAATCTTTCTTTAACGTAACAGATAACTTTACAAAAACTTAAAATTTAAAATTATCAAGTAATGTCTATTTTCGATTCTGACAATGCAGTTGTGGAAATGTACTACTGAGTAGAAGGTCCAGACGAAAACTGACAATACATTGTCGGAGTACAGCCGAACTTAAAACTTTTTTATGGGCGTTTGTGTCCAAAAGAAAATCAGCCTCCCATCGGGGGCGCCAAATATGTTTTTTTTCCGAAGAAACCAAATTGTGACGATCTTCAGATAGCTTCCCCCCCCCCCCCTTACCCAACAACCAATGTACAGGCCCCCAGCCCAAACTCCCCTTTTTACTTTCTGAATCG